TATTACTTGTATGTGGTATTGACGACATTCACATAGTTATAACACTTCTGGAATTCTTAGTTGGAAGCAGATATGCGTATAAATAAAAGCTGATAGTATTCTTAATTTATTTTTACTAAAATGAATTTCCTATTTGATGAGAGATATTTGTTCCTATTAGTCTAGTTTATATAAAATAATCTGAATATAAAAATAGGTTCATTCGTTGTAAGTTCTCTGTTCAGACAATGCAAAATATTAAAAGTGGGATTTGGGAAAAATCATGAGAAATAGTTCGATGGTTATACATTAAATGTAAACTTATGCTTACAGTCATATTAAAATTAAATGATTGTTTCTACCAAACGTGTAACCAAAGTTTTAATTGTAACGTATATACTACGCATTTCAACAAAATTTGTAATTATGCATCGAATTTTGTGCTCCTTCGAGTAGACTGATTTATTTGTAATGAGTTTCTTCTGACAAGCACGCGATTGAACGTTGACGAAATACTAATTGGATTTGACAGGTATATACAAGAGAAGACGATTTAATTTCGAGAAATATCAAATAATTTTTACCGCTTAAATTACAGAATCTCATGCACATGAGGAAAATCATTTAATTCGTAGAGCTACTTTGGACTGGCGGTACTATCTGCTACGACACTTTTAAAGTAACAATCATATCGACGTGAGCATAAGAAGAAATATTTTGGTAAAGTGTTTTACTATCGACGAAAAGTAAGATAGATTGCATAACAATGTAGTAACCATTCAGTGTTGATATTGTATTGTAATTCAAAATTGTAAAAGATTTTATAACAGGTAAAGAAAAGCGGCATTTCATATTTCGATATTGAATTACTGTACTAAGAATATTCTAATTCAAATAGATATGTAACGTGTTAAAATTTAATTTTAATCGATGAAATTTCTATTTAAATATTAATTGATTTTATGCAATTTTTCCTCTTTCTCCCGTCACAATTTTGCCCTTATCTTCAATTAGTTCTAATATGTTTACATATACTTATAGACTGTTAAACAGAATAAATATTTAAATACCATGATATAATTGAAAATTTAGTCATAAGAATAAATATTAGTGGTAGTCAGCGCGATGGTAAGATTAGATTGAAAAATCGAGCGTTTTCCCTGCTGCTGAGTATCAGACAAAAACAGAGAATTTCGGCAGAACAAACAGACGCGCCATCTAGCGGTAAATAATTTGGATTGTTTCTCCCTATATACTGTAATGTGTAAGACAAGGACAGAGCGAGTGTGCGATAAGCACAGAGATAGAAATCTCGGTGCAACCTACTTTGAAAAAGCATCTCATCAGTCCCTGGTACCTACGCGCGAAGCATGACAGGCAAGGAAGTCTAACGAGAGAAATGTTAACTAACAATTTGTGTAGCATACGATGGATAACGCCACAGTTACTCTTTTGTAGTCAATGAGTCGGTAACGTAGATTGTAAATAAAGTCAATTTCTATTTGTTATTAGAAATCATTTAACCTTCTATGGGCCGAATTTTTGTTCATGATTATAACAAAATTAATGAATATCCACATATGAATACGAATTAACAATGTATTCAATAGTTTTAATAATTTCATTAAACGAATATATTTTATAACTTTCGAGTTACAATGACGTTAAACTTTCACGCCTGAGCATACATAAGTTTAAGTTAACTGATTACTTAATTTTATTCACCGCTTTGAGTGTAAAATGAAATAAATCAACAAGATGGCAATATACTGATATATGACTTCAAAGTTACATGGGCTTATAGAGGGTTAACTTCACATTTTAAAATTCTTTTCTTAATATCCGATATATTTTTTTTGGAAATGGTCTGAAACAAGCCGTCTTAGAAACTAGTCGATAAAAATATTTCGACATTATAATTGAATGAATATTGTAAACAAATATATTGCATAAAGAAACATGCTACACCTCTATAGCTAATTTATTAGTAACTCAATTTCTATTTTTTAATAAAAATTATTTAACTTCTTATTTTAAAAGTCTTTTATTAATATTTATGATATTCTTTTTGTAAATAATAAGTTAGAAACGCAAGCTATCCTAGAAAGCTGGCCTAATAAATAAAGTCTAAAGAAATATGTCAATATAATTCAGTGAACATTTAAATAAGTTTATTGAATAAAGAAACACGTCATACCTTGTAAACTCCCACATCGATAATGTTTGTCTACCAGTTTGAGCGTTTCGATACGGATGGCGCTACCACCTATCCGAGTGAACTCCCACATCGGTAATGCTTGTTTAGCAGTTTGAGCGTTTTGCCACGGATGGCGCTAGCAGTCAAAAATGCAGATTTTCGGTAACAGATAATTCTTGCCGCAATATGCATTATATGCTATGCACAAAGTGGAAAAAATTATTCGTTGCTGTAGATTTATTATATGCCATGCTGAAATTATTGAAATTATTGATATCTTCGAAGCATTCAAACTGAAAATAATCTGTTGTTAAAATTTGTATAGAGATTACATATTAATCATATTAAATGCTCAGTAGTTTTAGATTAAACTATTTAAGGAGACGCCGCGTATGCCGAAGAAATGTCGGACTAAGAAGGAAAAGTTCTTGATTCTGAAGTGACAGAAATCTGAGAAGTCTTTGATTACAAAGGAGATAAATGAAGCTAAAGAATATCTACTCGGCATACTGTAACATGCATCATACAATTTCTCAGCCATTAGCCTAGCAATATCCTCGTTAGGAACTACTCTATCAGCGATGATGCTAGTTTCCAGGTCTACCGCGTGGAGGTTGCTGCGAGGGACCCTGGGAGGTGGGTGGAAATTCAATTCCACCGACCTCCTGTTCTACATCTAAATCTTATGTTTAACGCACTTATTTTTAATACACTTAATAATAATCCGACGGCGGCTGTTTTTTTTCTTGAGTCTGAAATGAAGTATCCCACGGCGGATGATCGACGTTTTCTTTCGCACGCATATTTCTAACTTAGATTAGCCTGAACGTATAACTTAAACTATATAATCATCGCAGTAAAGGGAGTGAATCAAGGAAGAAGTCCATGATTCGATCATCAGACGAATCAGAGAAGAAGTCTCTGGTTCAACAAGAGCAAGATCAGGGATGACAATCTTAATTTTAACTTAGTATAGCCTTAGAACAATCATCGGGCCAAAAAAAGGACGCAAATACGAAGCAACCAGTGCCAGATTCCCATTAACTTCAAAATTCGTGAGAATTCGAAGTAGGATTCCAACACTGACTGCCGCGATGGACGATGGCGCGAGCACCACCGCCCTACGGTGCGCACCACCTTTCAGCTCAGACACCGATCTCGAGACAAGCGTGATGAATCTAAAGGATAATTGCTCGCCACAATTTTACATGGATCGTACAATGTCGCAGCCAATCGGCCCAGCATTATCCTCGATAGGAATTACTCTATCGGCGATAATGCCGGTTTCCAGGCCCACCACGAGGAGGTTGCTGCGAGGGACCCATTTCCGTTCGCGAATTAACTTAACCCCTTGCTCTTTCATCTGTTTCTCAACCATGATCGATACGATTTTGGCATTAATCGTTTATTGAGGGAGGGCAAAAGTCTGGGTATATTCTATGTCATTTACCGTCAAGTGTGTTCATTGATGACGGGAGAATATTTAATTGGTATTCAAAGGAATCGAGTAATAGTTATGATTAACCTCTTGCACTCCGAATTTCTTTTGCATTTTTTCCTCGATAACTGTATTATTATGATAATTGATTTAAAATACATTTGAAGAGATAATTAGTTTGTAGAGAGCAGTTTAAATGATTCTTCTTACTAATAATAGTGAAAACAAGGTGATAATATAATTTATTTAAAAAATGTTGACAAAGAATCACAACTGTAAATAACACGGGTTAAATTCTGTTTTTAAATCTTCACTACGAGTGTGACACGGTTATTGTAAAGGCAAAAGGTTATTACAAAGTTCTTTCTGAGAGATTATCCGTCTTACAGTAACAGTATGTAATAAATAATGATAAATGTAAAGTAGTTCAAATAGTAATGATGTCAACAATTGTGCGAAGACGACTGATTGTCTAGGAGATGAGAGTGAGAGAGTGAGAGAGTAAGAGAGAGAGCTCCTTCCTTGTATCATTGTGAATCATTATCCCTGTTTCCCATTTTTCGTCTCTTTTCGGCGATATTCGGCGACTTCCGGTCGTACTCGCTACCGATCCCCACTATTATTACCTGCGGCTATTTACCTATTGAAAGAATCTAAGGAATTTTCAGCTATTTTAGATCTGCGAGAAGGGTTGTTCACTTAATGCTATTGCGAAGGATTTCCTGGAAGATCCATGGTAACTGCGTGTCCATAATCAAAATCGCGACGGCCTAGTGATTATTAAATCTCTGGAATTGACTGACGATGGGCCGCAGTCAATCCAAAAAGATTTTATTTTGTACCCACCAAGCATTGGAATTTATATTCCAGTATTATTTATTTCACTTTCATTCGAATTTCAATGTCGCGGAAACTGGATTTAATATTTACCGAAATCGATGGTCTGTATTACAATTTATTTGCAATTTAATTTCTAAGTTTCTTTTTACGAGTCGTAAACTCTTTTATATTTCTATACGAAACCTCAAGATAAAGTTACTCCGCCCGTAATTTAATAAAAAGTCAAAGCATTGCTGCTAGTACTTACAGTTAACGTTAAACCCGACGTACAAGAAAAACCCTATCTTATCTAACAAATACATCAAAAAATGCGAATACGACAATCTTATTAATATTTCAAAGAAATAAGAAATTAGAAATGTAAAGAAAGTAAAAAGTATATTTAACATATAAAATAAGTAACATTTGTACAAACACAGTAGAAAGAATTATACTAAAACAATGTACAAGGACAAGTATAAAGAAAATCGACGAAAACAGTGTATACGTTCTATATAATGGAATCGTTCCTTCAACTGAGTTTCATTGAAAAATGAAAAACTCGATCTAGTTTTCATCTTCACCTTCGCCAGCATCAGTCGAGTCCATGCCAACTTCTTCGTAATCTTTTTCCAATGCGGCCAGATCTTCCCTAGCTTCGCTGAATTCACTTTCCTCCATACTTTCACCAATATACCTGTGTAAATAATTATTTGTCTCATTTGTACTACTCTTTATAAATTGAATCTATTCAAATAATTTCATCAATATTTAATGGTAAGGATCAAACACAAATGTGATTAATTAAAAAAATGTTCAAGTATCGAAATAGTCGTATATATAAACACAGATATTGTTTGAAAATTAAAGAAAATACAGCATGGGAAGTCTTTCAAGAAAACTTCGTTGATTTTGTTAATTATACGTTTGATGAAAAGAATCAATTCATCGAAATATGATAATAGAGATTGATATAAAATCAAGGGTAAATGAAAGAAAACGTAATAGTTATTCAGAGGATTTTCAGATAAGCTTTACCAGTGAACGAAAGCTCGTTTCCCGAACATCAAATCGAATTTTCTATTTAATCTCGTCCATGCCTCTGCAATTGCAGTTGTGTTCGCAAGCATTGCCATAGCTCTTTGCACTTTGGCCAGATCGCCTCCTGGTACTACAGTCGGTGGTTGATAATTGATACCCACCTAAAAATTAAATTGATATTTATTATATTTCAGTATTAAAAGACTTAATAATGTAAATACTCATAACTGGAATCTCAAAATATTTCTATAGCTTAAAGATTTCTAAAAACATAACCAATCCAACAGTATAAATGTTGATTTCTAAACAGGCATTTTCTTTTATCAAAAAATTCAATTATCCCCCTACAAACAAGCAATAAAATACCAAACAAAAAAATAACAAATACCAAACTGTTTACTGTACAATGCATAATATAAACTTAAATTTTTAGTACACCTATAAATCACAAAAATTTCCTTAATAAAATCCTAAATAAAAATTCAAACAATCCAGACTGTACCTTGAACCCAGTGGGACACCAATCGACGAACTGAATAGCTCTCTTTGTCTTAATCGTCGCAATGGACGCATTAACGTCTTTAGGCACGACATCGCCTCTGTACAATAAGCAACAGGCCATGTACTTGCCCCTATGGGGATTGCACTTAACCATTTGCATAGCAGGTTCGAAACACGAAGACGTTAGCTCCATCACTGTCAGTTGCTCGTGATACGCCTTCTCTATGGAAACAATAGGCGCGTACGTCGCCAGGGGGAAATGGATTCTTGGGTATGGCACTAAATTCGTTTGGAACTCGGTCAGATCAACGTTCAAAGCTCCGTCGAATCTCAACGAAGCTGTGATGGACGAAACTATTTGCCCAATCAATCTGTTCAAATTCGTGTAAGTTGGTCGCTCGATGTCCAAGTTTCTCCTGCAGATATCGTATATGGCTTCATTGTCAACGAGAAACGCGCAATCAGAGTGCTCGAGTGTCGTGTGAGTAGTTAGGATCGCGTTGTACGGTTCTACCACGGCAGTGGAGATCTGCGGCGACGGATAAATCGCGAATTCCAACTTTGCTTTCTTCCCGTAGTCTATCGACAGACGTTCCATTAGCAAACTGGTGAATCCGGAACCGGTACCACCGCCGAATGCATGGAAGATCAAGAAACCCTGAAGACCGACGCACATGTCCGCGATTTTGCGGATCCTGTCTAGGACTAGGTCAATTATTTCTTTTCCTAAGGTGTAGTGACCTCTCGCGTAATTATTTGCGGCGTCTTCTTTGCCGGATATTAGTTGCTCCGGATGGAACAGCTGGTGGTAGGTCCCCGTTCGAACTTCGTCTAAAAAGTAGTTGGTTCGAGAGTTTGATGAATTGGGGTTGGTATATTTGATAAGTTGATAAATTAGGGATTTGATTATCTCATAAATTAGAGATTTGATAAATTCAGGATTTGATTATTTCATAAGTTATTCATTTGATAATTCGATGAATTAGAGATTTGATAATTTGATAATGTGATAAATTGAGGATTTGAGAATTTCATAAATTGGGGATTTAATAATTTGATAAATTAGGGATAACTTATTCGAGTATTAGATTGTGGATCCGTATGCAAGTTCAAATTAAGAACACAACTGGAAAATTAAAATTACGATGGGTAATAATTTTGTTTAACAAACATTATAAAAAGCACTATGCCTCGGATATTTTAAACATTTTTTCGTATCATATGCCTTACCCACATTAATTTTGCACTTTCGAATTTGCCATGAATGCATAAAAATTTATAATTTATTAATAACTATGTATCATCGATAAGAAACTTCTAATTAAGATATAATGAATATATGGTATACCTATGACTGTAGGTTCCAGATCCAGAAATACTGCCCGCGGTACATATTTTCCACCACTGGTTTCGCTGAAGAAAGTTTGGAAACCATCGTCATTGGAGCAATTCTGTGGTGGAAGCATGCCATCGGGTTGTATTCCGTGTTCCAGGCAATACAACTCCCAACAAGCGTTTCCCATTTGAACGCCGCCTTGGCCGATGTGGACTGACAGTACTTCACGCTGGCGAATTCAAAGAAAAATTCATGAAAAGATCAACATTTTCACAGATCATAGAAAGTCTCAAGTTTCATTTCAGATTAGAATTGTTTTAATACTACAATGTTGGAAATTGACTCGGAGAGACTGGTTAGACATAATATTTCTGTAATCTTCGAATCATTTAATTATGTATAATTACCATTTTGGCGATTCCTTCGAGATTTTACGGAAGGGAAGATGAACGACCACGTTGACAGGATGAACGCCCGAATCCAATTGAATAACCGATTATTTGTTCAGAAATTTTGTTTTCGTTGCTAGGAAACGGATGTAATTATAATGAAATAATTAGCAGATTAACTATAATCTGTGAAAATATTTTTTGTTGTTAAATAAGGAAATTATCGAGGGTTGGGTATAACAAATAATGTTTCTTAATTTTATATAATGCAGCTTCTATTTAACTATAATACATGGATTAAAATATATAAAATATTGTGAAAATTATAATGATAAATATTTATATCGAATTAACATATTTTATTATAATCATTTAAATAAGTAACTGAAGATTTAACCCTGTCTACATTTATAATGAGGTTAGAATTACAATTAAGGAGAATCTATTGAGTAACTATATATTTTATCGAATATTTTGTGAAATATGTATTTTTTCTAGTAGAACACATAATAAGTTATTCGTTATTGTACCTAAATACTAAAATTATATGTGAAAACGATTCGAATGTAAGTAACAGTAGTAAATTTGATGATTTTATAAATATCATGTAATATATAGATAAATTTCTGGAGGTTTATGCCACTATTAGATTGAAATATCTCTTTTAAATCGTTAAGGGTAGTCACCCCTGTTCCAAGGACAGTTTTGCAACGTGTATCATCAGACGAGGTGGCCGAGAGGTTAAGGCGTTGGACTGCTAATCCAATGTGCTCTGCACGCGTGGGTTCGAATCCCATCCTCGTCGATTGTTTTTTGCTTTTAATGTATTAGAGTAATCAAATTACTACGAATTCTTTTATATACTGCAGCCATTTTAATTAATTCATTAAAATGTTTACTAATAATTTCCAATTACAAAAAATATTCAGCTACGAACCATGCAGTCGTAGAAAATCGAATGCAAACGTTATTTTGATCTTTCAAGTACAAATTTATTATACAAATTATTTACTATCCAATTTATTTGAAAGTGTTGTTTCATAAATGTAGAAAATGCAGTAATATGTTACATATCGTTATTATATACATTAATACTTGTATACTTATAATACTACTTATACCTTAATATAAATATACTTTTGTGTTAATTGTACGTTATTAAAGGTGCTATTTTATTTTAGAAACACTAATTCTTCGATGTTAATTTACTGTGTTTATTATATATATTTATTTTTTTATTTATATCGTATTGAGTTAATGGTGTTGATCCTGTGTTAATTTGATCTCAATTATATACTGAAACAGATATAAAAGTATAAAAAAGAGTACTTCAATATATTTTCAATGTATGCATTTAAAGTATAATTAATTTCATTGATAATATATATGATAATATAGGTGAGTAATAAAATCATTCGAATTTTAATTATCAAATAGGATTAATATCATTTAAACTCTATTTTAATATGAAAAATTTAGAAACACTTAACATACATAATTATGAAGTAATTTAATATTAAAATTAATGTCAATTAACATTGGCTGCTTCCTCATAAAATTTTATTCTTTTTAATAATTGTGATGTTAGTATTGACAAATATAATTGGTTTTTAAAAATTCGCACGCATCTTATCACTATCTATAGTTTTGAAATTGTTTACAAACGCTCACTGATAAGATATAGAAATAGTTCAAACGTCCAATGTATTTTTAGGACTTTACAAAACATTAATGCTTCGTTATCATTTTCATATCAGTATTATCGACACAATAATGGAATTTCAAATTGCTTGACTATTTTACCACGGATGTCACCATGCACCAAAAGTGACCTTACCGATCGAGTAAAGGCGCGCATTTCTTATACAATTAAAATTTTTATTTGTAATTTATATTCTTCTTTTCTTATTATTTCAGTTTTCCATAATCTCCACAATTCCTTAAAATTGTTACATTTTCATCTGTATCATAGAAAATGAAAAAATGTCAAAATATACGTTAACATTTTATTCTATTATTGTTGTCAATTTAATTAGTCGTAAAATTATATTAAACATTAAGTTGCATAAATATTAATATTAAAACATGCTATTTAAGTTTAAACTACTGGTTCCATAAACCAAATGATTCTTCTCTTTATTTACTATATCTATATTATACAAGAATCATTGAAGTCTATATTTAAGGGTAAAATCTGATCTTCATAATAGGGGAGTTGAAAAAATCTAAAATTTATTACAATAATTACATAGAATTCTGATACGAATGATATTTCCGCATTTGTCTCTCAACACAAATTACAGAAAATTGGATCGCATTAGCATTAAGACATTTACGTAATCAAAATCCCTCGAAAAACCTTAACATAACAATCGCTAAAAATCAAAATTCCAAAAAATTCATTTCACCGCTCATAACTTGACAATTTCCACAAAATTTCCTCAACAACCTTTGCATCCTCAACTCCGCTCCATTTTCATCGAGCACATTGTCCTTCACGGCACAGATTAATAACCGAATGATCGCGTTTTATCAGCAGCAATCGCTCGTTATTTCGACCGCGACAGATGGCGACACGAATCGCAATTTCACGGGGGATTTTATATTACGCTCGCGTATCAAAAACAGAAACAGAAACGGTGTTCCCTTTTTGCCCGTTAAGGTTTCCTCCCGTTTCTGCGAGCGTACCGAAAGGATGCAAATTTTACGATATCAGGGGAGCAAATCGGCTGAAATTATTAAAAGCGGATCACGATCGAAACGGCCGTTTCGATTAGCGAGCGGGAACGAAGCGTAATCTACGATTATAACCAGACGTGAAACGCGCGTGTGGCTAATTAACAGAGATAAAAAAGCGGTTTATGTAATTGCGCCTCGTAATTACAGGCCGATACCAGCCGGATGATTCGATAACCTCATCGGCCGGTTTTAGCAATGTTAAGAATTTTTGTCCGGTCGAATTGCGGTTGAAATCGGAGCGGTTCGCATTCCAAGATGGTTTCAGTGAAACACCGATGTGCGACCACTGATATTAGCGATAATAAGAAGAGCGCAAAAGAAAGGAAAAGAAAAAAAGGGAAGGGAGCGACGAGATTTTGCCCGCGTCTCTTAAAAGGGATCGAGATCAAGGACCGAAGACATACACCTTCCGGCTGTTGATTGACACCGATTTATTTTGCTAAGGTTCCAGTTCGTGTTTCTGGAAACCTGAGACCGGGAGAAATCGTGTAAAGAGATAATTTCGAGAATTCACCGGTATCTTCTACGAATTCCTTTTGGCAATCGTGAACTCTCGGAGATTACAGTTGGTAAATTGAATGTAAGTATTACATGCCAGTGTGATATAACGTTACAGATCTGTACGGATTATTTGAACTCGTTGCGGTAATTTTGTAATTTTAATCGAATAATTTGGATGTTACGGTTAATTATTTATTGAGAAACTGTAATATGGAAACTCGGAAAATTATATCTCCTTTTCTTTTAAAATAATTTTCTTCTTGCGTGTAACTATCATATATTATATATGATATTTTAATGGTTTATTAAATTAAATTTCATTTATGAAAATATTTTCGTTTCTTGAATGTATAGTATAGCAATAATTTGATGGTGTCCATTTCAAAGTAACAAGTAACTTTTAGTTCTTGTTCCTTATCTTGATTCGTAATTCTCGTGTGTATATTTGAACCGTTAATCATAATTGAACTCAGTACTAAGTAATCTTGATACTGTGACTTTTATTTTGGACGTTCTAATTAGATGCGTGGTACATGCCCCGAATAACACGAAACAGATTTGTTTTTAATACTAAATACATGTTTTCCCACTTAAATGAATAAAGTAAATTCGTTTGACCTAAATCGTTCTGGTTTCAGTGGAAATATTAAATTATGCATTAATATTCTCTCATACTCTACATTCCTCCATTAAAACTGAATAAATATATAACATAATATTATAATTAAAGAAATATATTAGAATTCAAAATTCACACTCTATGTCCTAACACATTTCATTATGAAATAAATCTCAGCAAATTTACACATACATTAATTAACCAGTTAATTACGTTTGATAAATATACAAGTCATCTTATAAAATCCAAAATAATACTAATCCTTTCCACGAATGAATGACCTATTTCTTCAAATAAATATTTAACCCTTCTGTATGTTGTTTCAATTTTTTAATAAATTTTACCATAGGTGTATTTGCCTTATGCTAGGTGTCATACATTGATTTCAAAGGAAACAGAATTATTTCCTTATTTACTATAAACAATTAACTATTATAGTTTCCCTAAAACTATCGTTTGTGGAAAGTAGCAGTTAATTCAGACTTAACACAATTTCTACCGAAAATGTCAAAAGGCACTTTTTGAAATTTTAACTTGTAATTGTTTCCTCAGTTTAATAATTTCTCTTCAACTGAATTTTAGACAATTCCTGTTAATTTTATAATCGTTATTGCACAAGTCGAAAAGTCAATTCAGAATATACAACTAAACTTGGAAAATAATTTTAAAATAAAACTTCACAGGGTGTATAACACATTCGGTAGAAACAGTGTTAACACTAGATTTACGAAACCCGCGAATTTGACGGATGTTGAATTTCTTAAACATTATTTAGTAACAATTTAATTTCGATTTTGATTCGTGCAATTACGCGAATACGCATTGCAATACTCTAGTCTCGAAGTTACAATTTTCGCTATTTACATAGATGAACACGTAGTTTTCTAGGAACAATAGAATAAAGTGTAGAATAAACGTATGTAAATCTATTGTTAACACGTTCCGTGCCACGTGTACCACATATAGTACACGCCAATGTTTGTACGAAAATATTTTTAATAGATACATAGCCACAGTCGGCGGTATACGTTACAAAGCAGTGAAAACATAAAGAAACAATATCAAAATATATAAAAATGACCAGAAACTTGAATATAACTTATTACTTTATTGAGAAACTCAATACAGTTCATAAGCAAAATATATCCGAAGTTTCCAAGGCACGGAACCTGTTAACACGTTGGACCGGAGCTTCGAAATTGCTTAAAAACAATTACAATAAGAAAATTGATATCGACTAAAAATCTTTAGCAACATAAGCAGTTAGATAATAGCACAATATCAAATAATACTGTAATATCAAATCATTACTAATTACTTCTAATACCATTTGCCTTTACTACGAAGGAATAATGATTACTGTAACAAAACGCTCGAAATTATCGTGGCAGTCAACGTGTTAAAGCACAAACTATCAGGTATCTCGTAATTGGCAGCTAATGAGTTAATTACGAAATTCTTTGTTGTTATCCAAACAAAGTTTGGTTTGAATAATACTCAACATTGAATATACACGAAAACTCTGTCTGTGTGGCTCGCTGTCGAGCATCCTTTTCTTCGACCCCTCCACTGACCACTGACTTCGCGGCACGTGCCGAAGGACCCCCGTATCCTTGAGACTTGAGTGCAGGTAGCTGACTCGAGGTCGCTGAGGCGAGCAAAGACCCTATACAGATTCTCAGTACACACCGTACCCCAACCGACATTCTTATTGCTCTTTTAATATTATGCAAAAGCGATATCTCACGACAATATTAATAATTATATGTTGCACAATTCGAACACGCTGTCTTGCAGAAGAAGCTTGCGCGTGTAACCGTTAGATGGCGCCACTGTTCAGTTTTTCAAATTCTTGCTAACTTTCCCGCTTAATATTTGGATGGCAGCCATTTTTCATAAATTAACCCTTTGCACTCGAAAGTTTTTCACCAGAAATATTTGAACATTTTCTGATGAGATAAAGATGATATCTTGTGAAACTAATTCGAAGAGAAATCACACATACATTGCAGAACAATGAAATATTTCAATATTTCTCAAATTGATGCATTATCCGCGGTATAATATTAAATATCAAATTTTATAGTTTTACTGCATGAAATCAAGTAGTGAGTGAGACGTCTCGAGTGCAAAGGGTTAACGTATAATATTATTGCAGAATGGTAAAAAGTAAATCTATGAGCATGTAGACGTATGTCAGAAATATAGAATATAATTTTTTCATAGATACTTTATTTTAAATTCAGTCATTTACAGAATACGAGTGCATTGATATTTATAAGGGGAAGTGGTAAGTCATGAACAGACATGCTGACTGATTTCTATTGAATAGACACTTGACAAGTGTTTTAAACACTATTATGTTAAAGTCGAAGTATATTATGTGAAAATTAATGAATTAATTCATCTATGTTCTCTTTTTATTTTATTAGTTTTTTATTTTTTAACACGTTCACTACCAGCGCTTATTTCGATGACGGTCTCCTGAATTATATTTTCTCCAATCCAATAAATTTTCTAAACAAAGTATTAGGAAAATGAAACTGTAACGAGTTATTGAGTTCCTAAATATAATGTCATAGTTTATAATATCTAAGAACAATATCTATAGGATTAATTTCACTTTCATTATGTAAAATATAAGATTACGGCCGTTACAAATATCTGACGCTAATAGCGAACGTGTTAATTAAATAACTTCATTCACGGTTGTACTAACTTAACTTTAACACAATTAAAGTAATTAATTAATAACTTTCTACATGGTTTGGGAAACATAGTATAGCTAGCAATGTTTTGACATATTGAAATAAATTTTTTTAAACATATTTTTAGATGCATCTTTTTTATGAGTCGATGGGGTATATTCGATGTGTCACAAAATGTGGACGATCAGCTGACACATTGTTTACGCGCGTGTAACGGAGAAACCGAGGGTCGAGGATCGACACAAATAAGAGCGGTTTCACACTAGCGATTTCTAGACGATTTTTCTATCGCCCGACTATTGACATGCTTTTCATTTTATGAACGATTTCTCCGGTACGCTTATTGTTCCGCATCTATCAAAGCGCGAGGTTCTCACGTGACAGAATAATTGCTACTGTTAAAACCGGTGGAAGACTTTCAAGTTATAAAGTAGATAGTTTCAAGCGCAAGAGTAATGGCTCGTCTGATAGATATGATTTTTGAGAATACAAAATTGCACATGGCAAACAACTTGTGTCTACGTATGGTAAACAATTTACATTTCTTGCTGTACCGATAAAAATAGATCCTTTCAGAAACCTTCCAAATGATTAGGTACCTTGACAATGTATGTAACCTTGAGAAATAGAGTACCATTAATCATTAGACTGTGGATCTGTACGTAAATTCCAATATTTAAAAATAAACATTACAAAAAAACAACACTTTGGCTTTTATATAGTCTTCCTTACCGTGTGAATGTTCTGTAATTGTTCACTTTCTAATTTCCAATTAGTGCACAAAAATCTGCAGTATAATTATACAATAAAACAAACTTCTTGAAAGAGGTCATCTATGCAATACCATCCATTGCAACACTATATCCAACCAAAATATTCGCATTTCGACAATTCTTTATAAACAATCGCCAATAAAAGTCTAAACACAGAACAACTGTAAGCAAAGTTTTCATGTCCAATAGAAATCACGAAACCAGTGGAATTAAATCAGAGTTGACCAAGATCAGACTAAGAAAATAATGTCGCCTCAGACGGTTAAACAATTTCCGTCTCCAAAGGGTCAAGTTTCAAAGTGACGAAATTAATCCTCACAGAGCAGCATGTGCCGCACTGTTTCATCAAAACACAGACGCAATGTTTCGGCCGGAACAACGGCTGCAACAACACCGGAGCCCGGCTAAAAGTGCTCGTGAAGAGAGTGTGGCGCCAAAGAGCACCCGAGGGCTCGGTAGGGTTAGCGACCTTGGTGTGCACGGGTAAAGGACGGGCCGTGCCGAGGGGCGCCCCTCGTGCATCCATCATTGCTATCCGGCAATCAGTGCCAAGCAACATTATCGGTCAATTTACCGTCACCGTGACCGGTCTTGCCACGCGAAAAAGCGAATCTCGTTACAGCCGCCCGTGAAAAACGTCCCCCTGGATATTCAGCCGGTCCGTTCGTAAGAGTACGTTCACTGATAAAATGACAGTGTTCTGTGGATAATTTTGTTGTTTAAACGTCGCGTAGTGGGAATGGGAAATGCTGTCTTTTTTAACGCGTTGAGTGCCGCACGATTTTGGCGAGAAAAATGTACAAAATGAAAATAATGTAACATCAAATGATGTAATTGGATTACCTTATTATTACTGCAGGTTTATCTTGTCGAATGTCACTGCATTAGGTGGTCTTACTTGTGATTTGGAAAAGTTTCAAATAATCGTTTAACCCCTTGTTTACAATAACGTGCGAGACTCGTGGTGAAGATTTTAAATAGAATTTAACAAGTATAAATATTACTCAGCTACTTTGAATTACGATTAAATATTATTCTTCTGTTATCAATGATTATATTGTAGGGAAAACGTAGACATGGAATGTGCATAGAATTTTTCTCTTTTTTCAATAATTATTAGCGATGAAGTTGTTGTATTAATTACGGGTGGAAAATAAATGATAGGGCAAAGGGTTAATCGAATGAATAGTAATTCGATTTGGTTGAGGTCACCAGTGACCCCTATAGCATCCAACGTGTTAATGCTATAGGTCCGTTTTTTGAAAGGAATGAGTTAATGGTAGTTTTAGTGAGATATAGATATCCTGTTTTTATATTTATATTCATACAATTAATGACGAACGATATCTTCATAAATTAATCTAGAGAAGTTTAACTGTATATTGTTATTGTAGATATATTTTCTTTGGAATAAGTCCATTTTTAGATAGAGAAATCGTTGATTTTCTTTGATAATTTTATAAATTGTTATTGTACAATAAAATCTAACAAGTTTATGGATTTATGAACATTGCTAGAATCGATTAACGTTTGGTAATATGTTTAAGTTGATTCAAACGCAAATAATTGAATATCTCAATGTATGGGAAAATGGACAAAAAGACGGCTCAAATGATAGGTCTATAATGTTTAAACATATTCAATATTATCAGAATTGATTATCTGTTCAGAATATACTCAGTAATAAGATACTAGAATCTTGTTAAACATATAGCGACGCAAATTAGTAAAAATTCTAAGTTTCTGAGAATTATTGCGCAATGTGCTAACACATTGGCTAATTTTAAGGAAACTGGGCTGTTTGGCCGGCAATTTTCAATCAGATTAACATACATCACCAAATGTAAAAAATACAATATCCTCTTGTTATTTAATATATCTAAAACAAATAATCGGTTCTAATCAAATGTATTTTCATAATCACGCGGTAATTAGTAAAGTTTTACAAGTAAATATTTATATAAAAACGAGATTCCCCATTTTCGGTACGTAACGTGTCAACAATAAGAAAAATAACACTTTACTTACAGGTGTCCGAGAAATTGGATTTTTAATGGCGACGCTTATCGACTGGAATTTTTCGAAGTTCGTGCTTATCGATTGAATTAACATCGCATTCACTTTTGTGAGCAATTGAATTGAACGTTGATCAATTCACTGATCGTAGGTCTACGCGTCGTTTCATTTGAAAGAAAAGATCATTTCGGTTCGCTCTCAGCGTCGCTTTTATCGAGTATCGCAGCTCCACTATAAACGTGCTCTAACGCGATCTGCCATCGCGCCGGTTCTTTCTATTATCGTTCCGCGGTAATGCTGGTAATTACTCCGCGACCTTACACTAAGCAGCGTCTTACGTCGACGCGGACTACTCATTAATTTCCCTTCGAATCGATAACCATCGGTTGCCTGAAATTAATCGGCTTCGCTCTTTTCTCGTTTGCAAGTTTCAAACGCGTGGTTAGTTAGATGATCTCGTTTCGAAGTTCATTAGAGGTCAGTCTATTGTCCGTTGAAGAGAGAGTGGATTAACCCACTACGATTTTCTTCGGAGTTGCGCTCACTGGAATTATATTGGAATTATCAACTATTCGCTTTTTATCCGTGGTGTCCATCGATGTCAGATTAATACCTTGAATGCCTCGGTGGTCACCGATGGCTGGCACTTTCGAATTGCCTGAAAATAATTACAACGTGTGAGATGACTGACGTTGAATAAAAATTGCTAATACTAGAACTACTGAGTAATAAAAATTGACTTTTTAAAATTTTTGTATGCGAGTAAAAGTGTCTTATTGGGATTTCGATGAACCGTTTCAGTTGTTTAGTGATATTCCCAAAAAGCATTTTTATCTTTTCAATGGTTATAATGGAACAAATCAGAAATTGGTTATTTTCAGTTATCTGGTAGTTTTAGTATTAATACCCTGAACAACAAAGTGAATATAAGTATAATAGGAATGATCAGAATAACCTAAGTAGCAATAACCTAAGCAACTAAAGAAATAGATACAATTTTAATAGAAAAAATCAGAAATACATAATTTTGACCAATATTTATAGTATTGATAGCCCAAACAACCAAATAAATAACAGCATAAAGCCATAGTAATAAATAATTAATCATCGTTTTCACCTGTTCTCCGTAAGAATAAGTAACACACGAAACGTTCTAGATCCTAGCGGCATTGGATCTCTTAATTACAAACGAAATAAATTACTTAAGTTATTTTCGCTGGTCCTCGGGCACACACGAAACGACGAGATGCATCGAGGGCCTATCACGTCGATGGGCAGAAGAGGACCTTCAAGTTTGTCGGCAGCAAATTAATCTTGTATTAAATAATGCCGTTTGTTGGCTCGCCGAGGCGCTTTATAACATCGGCAGTCGTAACATATAAATTACATGCACCGCGTTTATAACTTATACGGCCGGGGTATAAGTTATAAAGGCGTCGTACAGTCTATGAGTTATAACTGCCGTGATGGTAATTTATAAGTAACAACTGCCGAAGTTATAACGCCCGCGATCCCAGAGACGTGGGCTCCCCGACACCCTTATATTGGCTTGCGACGCTTGCGAATCGAACGTAAATTTTCGTGCTTCGGGGCGCGGGAAACTTTTAAATCTCGACGGTATTTAGATGCGCATACCGCGACCAGTCGTTTATCAGCCGGCCACGACTGGAATTTAATTCGTTGCTTAAAGATAATATACTGCCAGTTTGAATGGGACCTTATCTGATATTATAATATAATTACCTGCGATAACATGGATAGTTCATTATTATAATATATACTACTATTTTAAGTTTAAATTGATTTATTGTTATGATATAATTACTTGTGATAACATAGATAGTTCATTATCATAATATGTACTACTATTTTCAGTATAAATTGATTTATTATTATAATATAATTACTTATGATAACATAATTCATTACTATAATATGTAATACTATTTTGAATTTAAATTGTCTTATTACTGATATAATTATGATAATATAGGCAGTTCATTATTATAATGTATACTACTATTTCGAGTTTAAATTTATTTATTATTCTAATGAAGTTATGATAATATAGGTAATTTGTTAATATAAATACCGCCACTGGGAGTGTAAAATTATTTATCATTTGTCCGTCTTCGGCTGAGCTACGGATGTAATGGAATCCTAGAAAAAAGAGAAGTGCATATGTTAGATACATTTCTTTTAGAAAATAAGAGTATAACTAGGTCAAACAAAATTAGCAGACAGTAGGTGTTGAAAAGATAAAAATCTTACTAGGTCACAAGATATTCGTAGGTCACGGGAATGTTAAGACTCTGGAATATTTTATTGGAACTGCAATATATCATTTGAACACGGTTTTTATTGAGTGTGCTTGTTGTAGTTTTAACTTCGACCAGACAGACTATAAATTATTTTAAATTAATTACTGAGATTTATAGGCAACTAATCTAACAAATTGCCAGTTTCATTGTTTTACGTGTTACAAAGGTATTTTATCGTTTACAAAGGCACCTTCATGATTAATGTAGTGACTCTAATTTTTATAGAAAATAGTTAATACACTTCCTGCAATTCTCTAATCTATCCCCCATATTCTTTAAACTGCTTCAATTCAATCATCAAGGGGAAGGTCGTATAAGAAAATTCTCTAATTCAAAAATTCTAAAGCACATCCAATTTTCATATTTCCCAGTTTCTTCAATTCGTCGACCCACCCCCAATCATTAGCCACTACTATTTAATCTTCAAATGAAAGGTCGTGGAAAAAGATACTTATACAGATAGAAGATAAAGGTCAAACATTGTATACCACACAAACATCACGTTTTTGTATTTTTCAATTACAATTCTCCAATTAACTCCCAATTATTTTAAAACCACTATTATCCACTCATCAATTTCAATCACTCATTCACAAGAAAGCCACCTACAGTCGAAATAATAAACCAGAAACAAGAAAAACTCTCTCGAATACAGGCCATCGCCATTAACGAAGCAGAAAGTCATAGACACAACTGTTCTGGATCAAACGATCAAATCTCCAAATATCCCAACAGTACAACCCCCTATTTTCATAAAACTGTTACCACCCAATTACCATTTCCAATCACTCATTCCCAGCAAAGTCCGCTACAATCGAAACAATAAACCAAAAATAAGAAAAACTCTCCGGAGTACAAGCCATCACCATTGACGAAGTGGAAAGTCATAGACACAGCTGCTCTGTGTCAAAAGATCAAATCTCCAGATTTCCCAACAGTACAACCCCCCCTTTTTCCTAAAACTCTTATCACCCAATTACCATTTCCAATCACTCATTCCCA